GTGTGTGTGTGTGTGTGTGTGTGTGTGTGTTTGGGGGGGTATCTGTACCACTTCTCTTTTGGCATTGCTCATTTCTGGAAGGGTTTTACTCATTTCATAACAACTCACTTAAGATTATAAACTGCTTTATGAACACATTACCTTGAGTTTCTTTGCAAATGACAATGAACTTGAAAAATAGGTTTTTATAATCAACTCCTCTTAATTATTGCAAAGTATTACATACTGAAATTTAAATTTTCAGGTTAAAAAAACAACATTTTTTCTGTGTTTCTGACGGACTTTGAGACTTCCATAAGAAATATTGAACACTGTACGAACCGAAAGGCTGTTAGGACGCTGTCAGCATGCTGTTGTCACTGCTATTTATTTTGTTTTTACTTTTATTTTAATCCCCTGGCAACCTTTTAATTTTATAAATTTATCTTTTTTCTATTTTATTGTTCTTCTCTTCGTTGTTATTTTGTACGGATTTTGTTTTGTGAATCGTTTAAAAAAAACTCAATGGTGATCTCGTTGTGTACGTGATGACGTAACATCCTTTAAAAGAAAAAAGGCGTAATCTGCGCATGCGCTCTAAGCGCTGAAGCAGTCAAGATGGAGGTGTTTGTTGTGGGTCCAACTTTCAGGTGTTCCCCCTTCGTGTTTTCGGTCGGTTCTGCGGTCAGAGACATTCTGGACCKGTTTGTCCCGCAGCAGGTGAGTGTTTTTATACCGGGCCGAGCCGGAACCAGAGACTATCATGTGTTTAAATTGTAAATCAGATCCGGACTGTTAGCTCTGGGCTAACAGCGATGCTAACACGAACAGATCTTTATTAATGTTTATTAATAGTTTAGATCCTGTTTTTATTTCTTTCTGATGTCTTCAGTGAGTTTGTCAGGTTCAACCTGTCCCACATTTTTAAGACTTTTCAGCAGATTTCTAAGACTTGTCTTAAAAAAGAAAACTGATATTAAACCGTGTTAGCTTTTAGCTTTGTTTTTAGCTGCTTTTAGCTGAACCTTTCTGACGTTCAGTCGCAGCATTTTCACAGGAAATGTCTTTAGTTGTAGTTTTCATCCTGAGAGGAAGATGAACACAACTTGTGCTGCTGCCTGGGTCTCATTAGTCACCATAGTAACCTGACAGCTGTCTGTCACTCCCTGACTGCAGAGTTATCAGGAGGCAGAAAAATAAACCTCAGATAAACAGCCTCTGTTGGATAAAAGAACTTCTTGACCCGAGAACGGTTCTAACGGTACCACAGCTTCATGGTTTTAATACAGATGTGATCAGGTGTGTGTTCAGGTGTGATCAGCTGTGTGTTCAGGTGTGGTCAGGTGTGTGTGCAGGTGTGATCAGGTGTGTGTGCAGGTGTGGTCAGGTGTGTGTGCAGATGTGGTCAGGTGTGTGTGCAGGTGTGATCAGGTGTGTGTGTGCAGGTGTGATCAGCTGTGTGTTCAGGTGTGGTCAGGTGTGTGTTCAGGTGTGGTCAGGTGTGTGTGCAGGTGTGGTCAGGTGTGTGTGCAGGTGTGGTCAGGTGTGTGTGCAGGTGTGGTCAGGTGTGTGTGCAGGTGTGGTCAGGTATGTGCAGAACGATCTCTGATCAGACTCCTCTCAGCTTCAGGACTTCTACGTGTCGTCAAACGGTCACCTGTCTCACCTGGATGATCTGCTGCAGCATGGAGCAGCCTATCACCTGGAGCCCCGCCTCTGTGGAGGGAAGGGAGGTGAGTTCCAGGAAGTAGATCCCTCTGGGTGGATGGCGAGCAGCTGACTGTGGTGTGTTTCAGGCTTTGGCTCCATGCTGCGAGCTCTGGGCGCTCAGATCGAGAAGACGACCAATCGGGAGGCCTGCAGAGACCTGAGCGGCCGGCGGCTTCGAGACGTGAACCACGAGAAAGAGTAAGCTCCGCCCCTTTCCTGTAGCTGAGGTGCAGCGGGAAGCGTTTGACTCTTCTTCTGTGGTGTGGCAGGATGGCGGACTGGCTGAAGCAGCAGGCGGTGCGGGAGGCTGAGAAGGAGCAGCGGCGTCTGGAGCGTCTGCAGAGGAAGCTGGCTGAGCCCAAACATCAGTTCACCGACACGCAGTTCCAGCAGCAGTGCCACGACCTGAGCGAGAGGCTGGAGGACTCCGTGCTCAAAGGTACCAGGGCAGAGGCTAGAGCAGTTCTGGATTTTTCATTATAGTGTAGTTTTATTAGGTTGTAACTTTTTTCTTTTCACTCAGTTTTATTTAGTTTTTACAGCAATTTACTCGTTTTATTATTAGTTGTTGCTTTTTTAATGCTTAGTTTTAGTTAGTTTTTATTTATTTTACTTAACTTTAATTNCCTCTAGTCTCAGACTTCTCACCACAGGACTCTAGTCTCAGACTTCTCACCACAGGACTCTAGTCTCAGACTTCTCACCACAGGACTCTAGTCTCAGACTTCTCACCACAGGACTCTAGTCTCAGACTTCTCACCACAGCCCTCTAGCCTCAGACATCTCACCACAGCCCTCTAGTCTCAGACTTCTCACCACAGGACTCTAGTCAGACTTCTCACCACAGGACTCTAGTCTCAGACTTCTCACCACAGCCCTCTAGTCTCAGACTTCTCACCACAGTCCTCTGGTCTCAGACTTCTCACCACAGGA